TCCCAGGCAGCGGGATGTCACCAGAAGCCTCTGCGTTTGTCATTTGCGTGCTTCTGGCAGAACCCCGGTAGTTCCTCGGGTTTCTGTTTCAAGGCACATCTAGATATCAGCTCCGGAACGGATCCCTTCCACCAGCTAGGCATCCATGTCTCATGGAGTCGTTGGCATAGTATCAATCCTATCGTGCAGAACCAACTCAGTCTACGTTATGCTCCAGCTGAGCACGCTCACCACCCTGGCAACAGCGCTCGCGAGCGATGTGGCCTCCATCTTCTGCATCCTGGTCAAGTCCACGGTGTGCAACAAAATTTGGCAGGGAGGGGTGGAAGGGTCTGGCCGTGATATCACCATAAGCAACATCTGTTTTTGACTCTGACCCTTGGCAAAAAACCTGGACCACTCGACTGAAATTGCGAAGCAAAGGGCATCACTCAAGCAGGACTAGAACAGTTAGCTCTGCATACACCCCACTGCTGAATTCTTGGACGACGTTGGTTTGCAGATTGCTGCCAATGCTTTGGCTAGTGCCTCTTGTCTAGAAAAAAAACGTTTGGATGCGCCGTTTGTGGATTTTACCTGTTCCTGTCCGTGTTGGTCATTTTTGAATAATATGTTAGTGCTCTTTTAATATTCTACCGGGGGTGGACACACAAGCCACATCCAAACCGTTTTCTAGATCTTGTTTTTGGCTTCCCCCAGTACTAAAGATTTACAAGCTTCGAACATTTACCGGGCAGCGGTTGCTTTGCCTTTGCATCGTTTCAGGCCGCTTTAGATGGCGTGCTTTCTGCGGGGAATGGGAGGACAAAGCACAACTCTGGCAACCCTGGTACAAGAATCGAATCGGCCTGGCAGTCATGGAGTGCATCTCTGCGCGCAGCTCCCGGCCCATGTTCTCCAGGCGCTCCAGCTGGCGTTTTTTTTTTTGTTGTTTTTTTTTTTTTTTTTTTTTTTTTTTTTTTTTTTTTTTTTTTTTTTTTTTTTTTTTTTTTTTTTTTTTCGGGTCAAGCCTTCCTTGGGAAGTCCAACGATTGGATTAGAGGAAGCGCTGATAAACGTCTGCCTTGGCTTGACAACATCATGCGCACCCTCGATGCAGCTCCGCGAGCGTGTGCAATTGCAATGCTATCCCCATCCGGTGGCAAGGTGGAATTTGGGGGCTTAAAAAATGGACCAAAGGGCCTGACTGAATAGGCACAATGGTTGTGAAGGGACTCCACTCCTGCGAAGGCAAACGCGCAGCCCCTCAGCCGCTCAACGAAGCTGCTCCTCCACTTACAATAGTGGCAGTATCAGTATCTAGGTGCCAGCTACGTGGCGTAGTGGCTGCGTGACTTAAGGCTTGCGACCAATGCCGGTGACTGCGAATAGCACCTCATCTAGCCACAACAACACATGTTGATTGCACCAACCAAGTTACACCCACCTGCCTGCCCGCCGTCAGACCGCAATGAGCCCGCCGGAGCCACGGCCTTGGCCAAGCGGTCAAGGGCCGGGGTGATATGATGTTTCTTGCCTACGTAGTAGCAGTGGCCTTTTCACAGAAAAGCCTCACTCATGCCTCGGTAGGTGCCAAACTGGAACCCACAAGCCAATATCACCCGAGGCCAAGCCTCAGCCTGCCCCGCACCACCCTTTGCAAGCCAAGGGCGGAAGCTTCAACTAAAAATAATCCATAGAAAGAGGTTCATTGTTCTGCAAATTTACACTCAATTTGTGTTTTGTTTCTTCCCGCGGGTGACCCTGGTCCCTGCGACGAATGCATGTGTGGCCAACTGGGACACACACTGCGCACAAAAGATTTGAACACCAACTTTCGCTGTCAACCAGTTCCGGGATGTCGCAAGCAACAGGGCCAAGCGCAATTCCTTGTTTTGCATGCCTTCTCAGAGTGTTTCAATCCACTTGGTGTTGTGTCGAAACAAACAGCTCACAGGTTTGCTCTTGTGTACATTCTTCAAGACACTGCTGTAAAGATTGCAATCTGTCATGTGCAACAGTTATACTTTGCATCACGCGTACAATATAGCCAGCAGCCACATCTTCCGATTGTACTTCTCTTGGATTGTTTTCATATCTCCGTGTAAGCTACAGTGATGGCTTGGGTCTTTCCTTCCATTTCGATTGGAACGCAGATGTTCTCACCCAACAGGAAGCTTGCAATCGCAATTCAAGTATCGCCGTATCGCATGTAGAAGGCAACTGCGAGAACAATTCGGTCAGAAAACATCAGCCGAGTCAACCCTTGCCGTGCCAAAACTGTCAAATCGTGCCGATCTGCCCCTTATCAATTGACAATGCCCGCCACAAATACAAAACACTACACAACAAGAAGCCCAACAACCAAGCAATCCGCCCGAGTCGGAAGAAAAGGAAGTCAGGCCATGCAGCTAATGGAGACGCTCCGTTGCTCTTGATGCTGAGAATGCCGTCAATGCCTAAGGCCAAGCAGAGCCCAATGTGGCTTGCCCGGTGAAACCTACCCTACCAACAACAGAATGTGTCCCATACCTCGCCAAAATCGCTATCAATTCACTTGGGACATCAACAGCCCTACCTCGTTTGGGCATCGGACGGCTGGAGGCGTACCGCCATGCAGCTCAAAATGCTTTGCCAGTTCACGGTGGCATGTGCTGCAGTCTGCCGGACACTTTGCGCAATGAAAGTGACGCGTCCCTCGGACTGCAAGGCACAGTTTCAAACAGCTACTCACCAAAACTGTCTGAAGCATGCAACCTAAGGCTGCTGCGCAGAGACTCGTGCGAGCCTGGCTGTTTGCGTGCCATACTGGCCATTCAATATCATTCAATAGCGCATGGGTTCGTGCATATGACTGGTCAAATGCACCCATCGCAAGCAGAGTGTCAATACTGAGACTGAGAATTGTGCAGGTGACATTGCGCCCAAGGGACCGCCTGGAATGTGGCAAAAGACCGCACATGTTTCATCGTTCAAGACAGAGGCATGCGGTACCAGGCAGAGGTCGTCAAAATAGGAGCAAACATCGGTGGGTTCTGACATGAAACCACCAGCCAAGAAAGGGCCCCCCGTTCACAACTACACGCACACAGCATCTGGCTGACTAGGCACTTATACACCTGCATGTGAGCGTGCAAAGCCTGCGGGTATCGAATGATCAAAAGCGACTTGCCTTGCAAACGTTATGACAAAGTGCACCGGCGGATCTAGCACTTATGTTCCGATGCCGAACAGTTCTGGGCGTGTGAGCGAAGCAAGGACGTCGACAGGGAGAGTGCAAGGCTGATCCCATACATGCTGCTCCAAGCTGTCCAGGAAGGGGGGTTGCTGACCCGAGGAAAAAAATCACCCACCATTGCCTTTCACTGGCGCCGTTGGCTTTGGCGATTTTGGCGAGAGAACGCCTTTGCCCAGAGTCCTGGGCGAAGCCGGGGGGAGGGAATTTGTTGGAGCAATACGTGGCCTGCCTGTTCCCGGGCATTCCATGATCTATAAATCAAGAAGGGCCCAACTTTGTGGAGTAGAACCAGTGCAGAAGCGTTCCATGCCTTAACACATTTGCCAAGCCACTGGCGCCGGGTGAACGGAAAACGCAGTTGGTTTTGTCAACCTTCGGCTTGCGAGAAGGAAAGTCCGGCTAGCTCGCTTGACGAACTAGCTCGGGAGCAAGTCGGTAAGTTAAATCGCACACTTTCGCGGCCTACAACTGCATGGCGTTCCTTCTCCGAGAAACTAGTTGCATTTCTGACTGGGCGCAAAGCATGGCGCCACCAGTTACTCAAGTAAGTAATTAGTCAAGTGAGCTAGCTGGTTGACAAGTCCAGGGGGCGTTCTGACCCGGCATGCCGGAAACCTGTGACGCCGCATTCACCTTCCTGCCACATTCTGAGGCCACATTTCCTGACGCCGCATTCCAGCCTCAAGCCGAATTCCCAGCTGACATTCCTCACTAACGCCGCATTCCGGCGCCGCATTTTCTGACGCTGCATTCTGACGCCACGTTCCCTGCCGCCGCACGCTTTCCGACACCACATTCCCTGACGCCACATTCCCCCTCATTGCCGGGGCACGGCTTAACGCCACAGTTTTGGACCTTCATTCCCCTTCTCACCTAGGGGCCTGCTACTCGGGCACTGGGCATTGGAAAGGAACTTGAACCCAGGGCGGAGTTGCAAGCCCTTTGCGGGCACAGTACAATTTCCTCAAGCGACGTTGACAACAAACACCTGCGCAATTCTCATCCCTCTGCCTCATGCAATAGAAGAAGCACCGGCTACCCCCTCCACCGAGCCTCCATCCTCTTGTTGACGTGCTTTGTTTGCGTATTGCTTTGCGCGACTCCGTTTTTGCCCATGTAACGCCGCCGGACCCGAACCAACAAACACCATCAGAAACACGAGCCGCGCGGCTCCGAGCAATCAAGGGTATAAACGAGTTTCCGAAAGGAGGCCCCACCATTGCGAGACCTCATGCTAAACTACTCCCTTGCCCCTCATGAAAAAGGCAACCACCCATCACAACGTCCCTTGCAAAATCCGTGTGATTTGCAGGGATGCCCAGTTCCAGGCGTGGGGTGTCCAGCGTTGCGTTTTATTCACTCAAATCCGGTCACGGGGTAAAAACGAGACATCCAGTTCGGAAAGTACCGCTTGTTTCCCCGGGCACAAAACAACTGAACAAATGACTGTCTTCAAGGGATGTAACAGGGAACCGCGATCTGGCCTTTTTTCTACAAACGCTTGCTGTCGACAGGAGAGATCGATAGCGCATTTCTGCAAATTGGATTGTTCTAGTTTAGGAGGGAACTCGCGTTCGGGAGGGAATTCGTCTTCGGGAATTCGTCTTCGCATTTCTCCTTGGGGGGGAATTCAGCTTCGGGAGGGCTTCGGGGAATTCGTCTTCGGGGGGGAATTCGTCTTCGGGAATAATTCCCCTCTTTGTTTCTGGGAGCTTCGGATTACGTCTTTGTCTGCAGGTGGAGAACTACTAGCTGCTCCCCCAGGCTAGATAGGTCCTTGGTCTGTTTGTTACTAACCTTTGTGCTCACTTCTCAACCACTCCTCCGACATCCTCCGACTTCCCCCTCCCACACCCTGCTGGCCATCCCTGTTAACTCCAAACCAACTGCTGTCGGTGACAGCGGAAATCACTTTTGGACATGACAATAGGCGAGCGGCTTAGGTAGTTAAAAAGATACTTTGTGTCGCTGCTTGGTTGGTGTGCTTGCGGCTAGCTATCCGCTTAGCTATACCCGCATAACAGCCGCACCACTGACAAAGGCATGCCTTCCTGCTCCGTCCATGTTTGCGTTCTGCTCTTGACTTGGTTTCATGCTGGCTGTGTGCTTTACACCGCGCTGAAACCAACGAAACAAAGCTGCTCGAGCTTTCTGACAATGGTCCCATTGCCGAAGTAAAGTTGTTTGCTCTCTGGCCACTCCACTTGCGGCCTTGCTTTGCAGTTTGCCCGTGCGCCTCTAGAGGCAAACCACAAGCAAGCTCACCTTCATTGGCTGACCAAACAAATCCGTATTCAAAGCACGTCTTGCTGCTTTCAATTCTCTCCAAGCTGCGAGGGGGTCAGGCTTCTGCTGACCTGCCTCGCGCGCTGTAGCAATGAGCCTCGGGTGTTGCAGAGGGCCGTGAGGCCTTGTGCAGCATGAAGACACACTAGCAACAATTGAAAAATCGTGAGGCATGCTCGAACATGATTGAAACAACAATCAATTCTGAGAACGTGCCCAAAAACTGTGGATCGGGTTCTCTCGCACTACTCTCAGTTCTCCTTTGGTGAAAAAAGTCTTGCAGCCGAGTCCAACGGAAAGTGCCGAATGGGCTAATAGTTCGGTATGAAAAGTACTCTTGCACCGCTGCAAGAGTACTTTTGCACTTTTGCACTTTTCCTTCATAAGCCCCGTGTGGGCCTTGACCACCCTGGCTGTGACGGGGCGAAGCGGGACAAGCAATGCACTGCGCTGGTTTACCTGCCCCCTCGCTGAAGTTCTCATCTAAACTGCGCCCAGCGATTTAGAGTACAGTGCTGGCTCTTGCCTTTTCGAAGTTTAATCCGAGGCCCTGGCCCATCCGCTGCCTCGCTGCGACGGCTTGAAGAACCACACTCAACGCACTCAACGCTCAGACATCCATTTGAGAGCTGCAATGCAAGTCTGCAAGCAAGAAGACGCTAACCATGTCAATTGCGCAACCAACACGTTTCTTGGCTACTGCAAGCACTTGAGACAGTACATCAAGAGACTTGACCCGGCAGTCCTCTTCTGGCCCTGGACAATGTCGTTCAAGTCTTGGTCGACCTTGCTCGCAAAGTAGAGTGTTGGGGGCCAAGCAAGCTCCATAGCAACAACCAAATGGGTGCTTCTCAAAGTCAAATGGTTTGCTTCTTTTGATGGTTATTGCAGCTTGAATGACGAGCTTTCTCTGCAAAACGTTGGATGCGCACCACAAGATCTGTCAAAAGCGGAGAACTTCCCCAAAAATCTGCAGGATCTGCGATAAAATTATGCCGCGAGAACGAGCACAAGGAGCGCACGCTGCCTCACTCCGATGAGAAATCCAAGGGCCGCACTTCGTGCGAGAACTGCATGAGTAGGTTCCTGAAAAGCCCAAGAAGATTGGTCATTGCCCAAAGCCTAGTTGGATCTACCAGCATGTTCAAAGAGCTCGAGTGAACCCACTCAGCACTGCGCATGGTAAAGCACCCCAACACCAGCTCGAGTGCACCAAATTTACCTTTGCCTTTGTCTCGCACTGCATCAATCTCTATGGGGCTTGGACCATTCCCCACAACTGCACACATGTAGAATGATCAGAATTGAGCAAATTCATGTACGAAACCTATTGGCTTCTACCAGCAATGGTACTGGCACCTGGGTCGAAACCAGCCCAAAAGGTGGAAGATTCAGTTGCCGAGGGCAGAATTTCGAAGTCAAGCTGCTCAAAAAAAACTAAATCTGGGAAAGAGCTGCGCGCGTCCAAGAATTTGCTTTCCGAGGATTCACCTCCAAACAAGCGACGCCTCTCCCTACAGTTGGACACGGCTATTGCAAGGGGCCCTGGCCTGAAGGCGGTCCAACCAAAGAGCGGACCTGCTGCTCAACTCAACAGCAGTTCGCAAAGAGGGTTGAATGCCAGAATCTTGACAGCAAGAAGGCGCCGATGTCCAAAACCAGGGCATGAGGCTCACCCACAAGTATGCCAGCACAAACGCCTTGTTAACCAGAACGCCGAGTGCCCACAACTCGGTGATAATCCACCGGTTGGTGCAACATGATTATGACTTATAACGAAGAACATAGGCCACACCACCAGCATGGCTATCCTTGTTGCATAGGCGTCACCATTGGCTAAGCATGCCATATAATATCATATAATCCCTATAGCACTGGGTAGACTTTGAATTTAACCTTCCAGAACCGTGGTTGCATGCGCATGTCCCCGTTCGATCTCGCCCAACTGCTGGCGGTCCAAATCTGCTCTACCCGCTTCCGCATCATGAAGCACTGCTTCGCCTGCGCTGGTCCTCGCCACGCGAGCAAGGGTACATAACATGCTCATTTTTGTGCAGGAACAAAGGCAGCTTGGCAGCTTCTTCCAAGTTCTCAGCCATGCAGCTTATCCCATGCTGGTTGATGAATGGCAGTGCATGCCTTGAGTCTGAGACGATGTACTATCTGGTCCAAACCTGCTAGGAACCTCGCTGGCAAACTAGAACCAAAGGATGACCCAGTCCTTTCATCTCTTGCAACCCTTCGAAGAACTCGTCGATGGTCAAAGAGCCTGGGAGCGTAACTCGGGAAGAAACAACATATGGAAAGGTGCCAAGGCAAGTCCGCCACACAATTGACACTCTGTGACTGGGGGGGGGGTTCAGTTGTGCCCGGTACCAACACAACACCCCGCTGTGGCGCCAAAGCCTCACTGTGCTTCTATTTTGGGTTTGTTCTCGTTCTGATGTACTCCTTCAGGAGCCCGGCCATCGCCCTCGTCCAGCAGGTTAAAGATAGACTGCAAGCGGCCAACCCAAGGCAGTTTCCGCCCCTTCGGCCCCCTTTTGATGCCTTGAGGTGAGAATTGACAGGAAATGGAGCAGGTGCGCAGTAAATCAGGAACCGCTTTCGTACAAGTAGAAAATCCACCGAGCATGCAAAACATCCAAGCATGAGTGCAATTGGCAGGCAGGCACGTAGGCAGGCACGTAGGTGCACACGCAAGAACATATACACACGCACGCGTGGGCGCGCCCACACGCAGGCACACTGTCACACCCACACACACATACACACACCCACCCACCCACCGCAACGCCATCCTTTTGCCAGCTCAGCATGGTTGCGTTTCGGGGGGCAATCAAGGGGTCGGTTCACCCCTGCCCCTCGCAGCACTATGTGATGACAGCCTTCGCGACAAGTCAATCAGCGCAGTATCTTAGCATTCTACCTTGGGGGGAACTCAACTCAAGTCCAACATAGAGTTCTGTCCGCTGCACGGCAAGTGACTTCAAACTTCTCAAACCAAAAACCCCACGAGCCCCCCAACCCCACATCAGCCCCACCAGCGTCGCGACCCTTTCCCAGGCCTGGCAGTCCATCTCCTTGAAGCCCAGCAGCTTCAGCTTGGTGGCCACCTCCTTGGTCTCGAAGGCGCTCTGGAACCTCACTCCGACGCATTCGATGCCTCGCTGTCCGTCTGACCGGCGCAAAGCAAAACGAAACGGGCGCCACCGAATCACCAGAAATGCGGGGGAGAGGCTTGCCAAACCGGTTGTATCTTGAGGCACTGCTACTCAATCACACGTGGAATGTGAACAAATCAGTCTCAAGCCGCAAGCTAAAAGGTTGGATTTGGGCATGCGAGAGGCTAAGTACCAGGCTCCTCCGGGGCATGCACTGTGTGTGTGGCTGTGGCTGCAGCTCTCAAGCGCAAAGCAGAATGCAGCCAGAGGAAACTATGGTCTGGTCCACATGGTCCATGGCCCTCGCCGGGCTTTTTTTTTTTTTAAGATCGGCCAAACCAGGAAGACCCTCCCAGTTGCTAAGCTGAACACTCTTCCAAAGTCAGTGTCCCGGAGTTGTCCTGCCATGTTGTGCAAGGCGCATGAGATGCCTGAACACCTCTCCCTGTGAAAGCATTCTTGATTGAACAACTCTCCTCATCCATGACCTCGAAGAGGGCTCGGAAAGTCTTCAGGAGCCGCTTCCTGAGCAAGAAAGAAAGCCTAGTCCATTCACGATAGCTGGTGAGTCGACAGAGCTAGGAACCGAGCTCTTCTAGGTCTTTTTGCGCCAGAAGGGTCTCTTCGTCCTGCCCACGGTGACGACATGCTGTGAATGCTTCTGACGTGCTTCATCGGCGTAACCCTCAGCCAGCCACAAACAAGGAAATGAATTTGTCTTTTGCTTGAGCTCAGTGGCCTCCACTCATACACAGCACAAGGAGCCACAAGCTCAGAGCAAGTTGTAGGATTTTGTCCGCCAACCCGCATCCTGTCCCACCAGAAACCAGTTGGGGACATAAGAAATGCTGCGACCCTTGAAGGTCATGGTCAGGAGCCCATGCGGAAAGGTTGCCAGCTGACTGCTGCCAAAACCATTCGCAACAACCTAGTGAAACGAGACGGGGAATAACGAGAGCACCTCTTCAAAAAAAAATGGCAACCACATATTCCTTTTGTTGGATCATGGTCTGAAGCTCTGACGGTAGTGCCGGCAGTGAACCCGCGGCGAATCCCAAGCTCCCTCCTGTTTGGAATGGCTCAAAGCATTCTCGACAATGACCGCAGTCACCTGTTGGCGAACAAGTCCAAAACGAGTCAAGCGTTTCGTGTGCAAAGCCACCAGTATCTACACAAACAAATGAATCGATGATGCACACCCAACCCTCAGCGCAGGGCCAAATTCATAAAGACGATGACCTGCAATCAGCGGCCAGGAAAGCGGAATCGAGCGGGAGCTGGAAGGAGTTTGCTTGATTGCGATCCGTCCACAAGCACCCTTTGAACGGTCAAGAATTTGGAAACCAAGCTGACCGGGCTCGGAAAGGCTTCCACCCACTTGGCTGCGATGCACTGATTCCCTCCAAATGGCACCGATCTTATCGATCTTGCCATGCCAATACATCTGCATTTGGCCCCCCTGCTGCGACAGCAATGTAGGAGTAGAAGAAAATCCAAGAGCCGGGCACATACCTGGCGGGAACGCGCAACCAGGCAAGAACAAACATCGGGACAAACTTGCAAAAATCAAAAAAAAACCCAACTGTGAAAAAATGATTATTTAATGAAGGACCCTTTCCCCAAGTGAGCTCGTCGCAACTTGTGCAGCTTATACGCTTGCCTTGCCCACAAGTGTTGAAAACAGCGAACATTGCGAACCTAACAAGGGCAAAGGGAGTGACTGCAAAGACTTGCTCTGCACAACTGCAGTCATGCAGTTCATGCAGTCGCACCTCAAAACAGCATGATCCTGTTGGGCGTCTTGTTCCCTCTCCGATGACACATGGGTGATGGCATGACACATGGGTGATGGAATGCATCCCTGAGATGTCATTCAGATGTGTCTGCAAACCTACAGGTTCGATGTGCTGCTCCCATGAGTCACAACTGTTTGAGGCATGGCTTGGGAACATCCTGTCCGGTACAGGCCTCTGAAGCGGCCGGGCGATGCCGTTCCAGGAATCCAGCGTCAGCACTTGGATCAAGGTAAACATCCTGAGCTTCAATAAGTTGCGCTGAAAGCGCCAACAAAGCACTTGGTGATGCGTGAACCGCTGAAGCACCCTAGCAGGAAGTCCGATAGAACAACGAACGCTCTGCTGGACGGGTTGAACGAACCAAACAGCATGCATTGCTTTTGACACAGCTTGCTTTCAACAGTCTTTACTTATCGCTGCCAACTTGCCCCCATGACCTGTGTTGTGCTCCTTTGGGATTCCGGAATGCCGGTTTCAAAGCAAAACTGATTCTGCAGTGGTCGACTGGCCATGCCAGTCACACACACACAAACACACACTTGGGGCTGTGCACGGGCTTCCTTCGGAACTTAGATGTCACCAAACATCCCCATCGATGTAGCCCGCAGCTTGAGCGCGGACGTTCCAACACCCATCGCGCGATCAGGCCGCGGCCAAGCTGTGAGGCTTCCAGTAGAGTCCTTCAGCATTTCCAGGTCCTCCAGCCTCGCGACAGTGGCGGCATCGAAGGACGCTCAACGACTCACCCTGCTGTTGCTCCCAAGAAGCAAAAGGCTGCCACGGAACAAGGGCAACTGTCAGACTCGGTGCAGTGATGCGCGAGTGCCGGTCAAGCAATGTAACATGTGTTGAAAACGTTGTTCGAACCAAACTTCCAAGAGCTAGACCCCAGGCCCAGCCCATGTTGATTCTGCATGCCGCACTGCGCATCCGTGCCATACTGCAGAGGCACAAAGTTCACCAGACTTCAAGCCATGCACGCCCAAGGCACTCCCTGCTGTCTGCCAGGGGATCGTTGCTGACCACATCCAAGGCAGCCAGCACTTCAGCACCTAAGAAATCAACAGCAGCAGTGAGTGCGTGCGTGTTGTCTGTCTTTGAGTCAGGCTGTTAGCGCTTTCGAAAGGTCTGGGAAGCCCTGCTCGGTGGCCAGCCGTTGTGCATGTGTGCATCAATTCTGAGCCCGCAGCTAATCAGAACTACTCCGAAGATCGCAAAAATGTAAGTGATGAGGAACACTACCTTGGGTGGGAGCAAACCATTTCGACTCTCATGCCTTTCTCTTGCCTTCAAGGAATTCTCATCCAACACAGGCGCGCGAACTTGCTCAACACCCTCCCCTGCGAGGCCCTCTCGTCCAACCAAATCCAAGCTTCTGGTCAATGACACAAGACCCACCCTCCCCCCCCACCCCCGCCCCAAATACATGCGACATGGCATAAAGTTTAGGTCATTGAGCAGGCCCAGGTGCCACAACTGTCCAGAACAAGGTCCGTGTTGAGGCCGAGAGCCCTCGGATGAGCCTCGGGCTTGCTCTGGGCGCTCAGGGATGCCAGCATGAAGTTTTCTCTCCCTACACTGCAATGGGATCGAAGCAAAGATTTCTTCCAAGGCACCTCATGCAGGTTCTATGCTTCGAGCGATACTTTGTTCTGGGAAGGGCACGGTGGCTGTCAATTCGGATTGCCTTTTGGAGCCCCTGACAGGTACACCTCGTTGAAGGCCGGCAGCTTGCGCACGACCCGCACCTGGGCAACGAGGAACAATGCACAAGGCATAAACAGCATCGAAGGAGAGCGCGAGGTCTTTGTGGTGGTTTGACTCTTGACTACTCTCCGACAGTGCTTCTTCTATAACGAACATGAGGGATCTCAAAAACATGGCTTTCTCCATACCGATGTGGGCCACCATCCGAAAATCCAAAACAAAGTCGGCAGAACCGTAGCTGGACAACTGGCGACTTGGGGCAATTGATATGTTGCTGGCATCCTACAAGCATCGGCGAGGTTCCTACCAGGGCTGCTCATCTGCTCCTGGAGGAAACTCCTTTTGGTATGGTTGGCCAAAAGGTGAAAACAACGCAAACGTCTAAGGAACCACCGCACAAGAGGTGGTTAATGGCCAAATCTTGCGCCTCCGGCCAAAAAAGTGCTGCCTAGAGTCTTCCTAACAAATTGGGGGGGGGCTCATGACCTCAAAGGGGCATGACCCATTTTGAAGGAGACTTCAGTGGATGGTTGGCCTCGCATGTTGGGGAGCCAAACCCCCAAAAGTAACCTCCTCAGCTTCGCCAAGCGGCCAACCGCAGCAGCCGGAAGGCCCGGAGGACTGTGAAAATGCGCAGCTTCCCGGCGCCTCAGAAAAGAACCTACCTTAAAGCCGTAAAGAGCTGCTTTGGTTCTATCATATTGTTATATGCTGTTTATTTTTTCAGCGCAGGCTTCCAGTTGATTATTTTGCCATCATCTTATGCGATGATTGATGTTTTACAGGAAAGGTCGGCCTCCAAAGGTGGGGAACGGACCGAAGGGGGCTAGCACTTGAGCCAAGCCCTGCCCTGTGGCCAGTGGATTTGCACGTGATAGCCTGAAGGGTCCAAAAGCGACTTGCAACAAAGGCGTCCATGGCGTCCCTCGAAAGGCTGAGAACGCGACTAATCCCAACGAGAGGAACGATCCATGACATGAAGACTCCAGTCCTCAGTACATACGCAAAGCCTAAGATCATGCCGAAGACTAACTTGCGCCTAGTTGTTCTTAGCTGACCCGAGTTGAATGCCCCGAAAACCTGGCAACATAACGTGTCAAGCTTGCAAGTCAACTGGCCAACTTGTGCCCATGCCATCACTCACGTCTCGTGTCACATGTGGTTGACTCAGCTTTGGTTTCCTATGTGCGACATGTCTTCCACATGACTTCCCTCAATGCATCTGAGTGACCCCCAAACCAAGCAGCCATCCATGAAGTTCTGTACCTGCTCCTCAGCTCAATAAAATATCCGATTTCGTGCTCCCCCAGAACTTGTCAGTATCGTCCTATGCGAACCAGGTTGGGGCATCAGTCTCCAAGAGTCAGCATGTCCAGTGCTGAGAGCTGCATACATAGGTGCTGCCACTGCAAACATTGGACTAGTTGTCTTCTTGTTGACTTTGGCCTTGTGCCAGCCTGATTCAAGCTTCGCCACGACTCGGGCTATCAATGATCCCCTCCGGCTAAGGGCTGTGGGCAAACGCCCCGGCGTGTTAGACTCGTAGAGAAGCACCACTATCCCAGGTGTAATTTTGGACAGTTCGATGTCAATGTTAAATGATTAGGACGAAACTGATACCAGTACTCTCTATTCTCAACCAAAGCGACCCAAGAGAACAGATATGGCCACCAAGTTCCGCATCTGCCACCTTTTTGTTGTTTTGCCATACTGTGTGTTGCAGCCTCTGGCCGCTTCTGCCAAGGCACCCCCGTGGACACAGCGCTCGGGACGCAGGGCAAGTACGTTCGACAGCCCAAGAAGCACAGCCTGCGCAAACAAACGTGCACAGATTTTGAATTAAAACCCTAAAACCATTCATAAATGTTCTTAAATTGGAACGTAACCTGGAGTGATTTTGGCCTGCGGCAACTGTGCAAAGGGCCCTTGGTATCAATTATAAATATAAATATAATAAATATATAAATACATACCGTTTCTCCAACCAAATGAGATGCACAACACCTCACATATCTTCAAAACTCATACGAATGTGCCCGCAGCGAGGAGCGAACTGAAAGGTGCTCACCTGCCAAAGAACTCCAGCAAAAAGAACGCGCAGAAGACGTGCTCGCAAATATTGGCCAACTGCGTCGGTGCGACGAAGGGGTTGTGAACACAAAGTTGCCATCGTGGACTCTGCATGCTGGGTGCAAAAACATCTGGGACTGGTGTCGGATGGTGATCTGCCCAGCAACTGTGAATGATGCTCTGAGAGGGGTCCTTCTTAAAACCATGCAGCGTAAAATTCAGTTGGGCAATACCACAAACTTCCAATCCTTGGATGAATCCAGCAGAACATACTTTTTGCCAAACATGGTTGTCACATCCCTCACAAGACGCAAGGGCTGATGGCCTGTAGCAACTCATCTGAGACAGTGTCTACCATGGAGTTCACCTGCCAAGGTGGGCATGGGGCATGATGTCCAAAGAGCAAACAAAACATATACTCAAAATATAACGCCTCCTCGGCCTTGGCTGAGGATTGCCCAGGTCAGTTGAAGCAAAGGCGAGTGACGCATGGATTGTGAAAAGTGACCAGCAAAACAATTTGTACCAGCATAAAGCGACTTTCGCTCACCGTAGCCCTCTGCCTCGATTCCGATTGTCGCGCAATTCATCAGGATTACGGCCCTGGATGCGAATGCGGGGGGCTGCTCATTTGCAAAGCATGAGTCGCATAAGGTGTTCTGAACCGATGTCTTTTGCTGTGGGAAGTCCTGCTGCCCGGATGCAAAAACGGATGGGCACTCATGTTTGTTCGTCCAGCTTCCCTACTTTCCGACCCACTTCGCCGCTGCGCAAACGTCACAGCGTCACTACTTCTACTGCGGAAATTGAGAGAGTTTTCCTCCAAACCAGTTTGCAGTGTTCCACGCGTATTACTCTCTACACGGTAAGGGACCGGCTCTTGCATATGGAAAAGATACGTGTTTGTTTGTGTTGACCCAGTTTGATGTTGACCGGGTTGGTAATAGTTCCCATGCTCATTCGAGTGATTCTATTGTTGCCTCATGTTAGCTTTTCGGGGTGTCAAACTGCTCTTTAATCCCAGTGTGACGTTCCTTTACTTCAACAATGCATGCCCGTTTCGACCCATCTCTGCATCCCATAGCCTGCATTTCACGAATTCACAAGTTGCATTGTGCAGAATGACAGAAAGGGGAGCCAATCTGACGGGCTCCAAGGCTTCTTATGCCGGGCTCAAAGCGACATGATTTTTGTATAGTATAGTTTCTGCAACTCGAACGCAAAAGATGTTGCCGGCCCCCAAAGGCCTCGACTCCAAGAACTTGGCTGCCGGACGCAACGCTGGTCTCAAAGGCGGTACTCCGCACGAACTCCTCAGTTGCCAGGGAACAGGTGGCGACATAACCCCCAGCATGGAACATCGCCAAACACATGTGCAGCGCGTGCGCAAAACAGTCAGCGGTGAAGTAGAAACTCTCATGAACAGGGAGGAATAAGAGTAGGCCCCAATGTTTCTCTCAGGCTGCCCTGCACTGCTGGAATGAACACTGCCTGCATTGCTTCACTGCAGCCATCGCGCAGGATCAATGTGGTTCCCTCCTAACAACGAACATGGCCTGAAGACATGTTTTCTGCTAGAAGGATCTAAAAGGGACCTGGGCGCAGGCATGTTTTCGTCTGCTTGGCACTCAGGACTTTGCCATGGGCTCTCAGCCTCACACGGCAGGCAAGTGGGCAAGCCTAACCTGTGAAGCTTTCCCATTCCAGGTTCGTCTTCTTTGGGCCTGCCCCTTTTGGGGCATGTTTGAAACCATATGGCGACCCCTCGCAAGAGTGGTCTTCCAGGCTTCTCGCCCCATAGCTGGAACCAGCCCTTGCTATCCAAGTGCTGCGAGGGCTGTGAAAGCCGTGGCAATTATGTTGTCTCCACTGGCCGCCCCTCACGACTCCGCTGTTGCCGAGTCATACTCGCGCTCGCCTTAGTTGCTTGAGTACATGTGCGGGGGCCCATGCGACAAGAGCCAAAGATTTGCTGCTGACTTGTCTATTGCTTCACTTTTCAAGGAAGAGTGATGTTTCTCGGCCCAAGAGTCCTAATACCCAGCAATGCTCTTTAGGTGTGATCCTGCTTCGTTGGGACGTGAGGGACTGCCGAAACCTCTTGCTTGGCCTTGGTAGAGATCTTGAGGTTATCGGATTTGGGAGGGCCTTATCGTTCTACAGTGTTTCAACACACCTGCAACATTTTCGCAACATTTCAGTACCAGGCAGTACGCGAGTTACACTTCCGCAGCTCCAGCTCGAAAATCACAACTGTATAGCACGAGTCTAGTACACGAAGTACACCTCCGGCAGCTCCAGATTGAAAATCGCAACTTTTGTAGAAAAAGTCAGTACGCAAAGTACGCTTCCTAAGCTCCAAAAATCACAACTTTGTAGTACAAGTCTAGTACGCGAAGTAGACTTCCGCAGCCCCAGCTCGAAAATCACAACTTTGTAGTAAAAGTCTAGTACGCGAAGTACACCTCCGCAGCTCCAGCTCGAAAATCGCAACATATCGCAACTGTCTAGTACAAATGGAGAACTCGAGCACAAGCTGAACAAATGAGGGTGTTGCCAAGGCTGTCCTTTTGCCAGCCCAAGTTCCACTCAATTGTCACGTGTGCAAAAACTTGTGCGAGAGCGAGAAAGGTCAGGTCACGGTCTCAGCATGTCTCAATCAGGCTTTCCATGGCCAATTTTAATGGACCCCTCCTCCTCTCTCCAACACTCTGCAAACTCACCTGACTGGCCGACCGGGTCACAAAGCAGGCAGCCATTGCAGTCGCAGCCGCCCTGCTCCAAAGCCGAGCAGGTCCTGCTGTCACCTCAGGGAACCAGCGAAATAAGGCAATTGGAAAGCAGGCCAATGAAGCCCATAAACCCAACCGATCCACAACAACAAGCCAGGATTTCAATGCAGCTCAACTTTGGCTGTGAAATGCTGTGAAATGACCGAGCTTTCACCCGTGTAGCAAGGCGTGCACATGCAATTTGAGTCAATCAAAGGGTTAGTGTGTGGCTCGGCTGCTTGGTCGCTTTGCTACGTGGGCATTGGCTGCTCTGCTTGGCTCCCTCGGCGCCAGTGGTGCCATCCGTTGTGTCTTGGGAAACACACCGAGGCCAGCCGTGCCAAAACAACTTATGAGAACTGCGCATGCAACGGAACCAAATTGCAAACAACACAAGAAATGAACTCCGACTCCCTGTCGGGCAACACAACTCCTTGTGCCCCGGCCTTTTGAAATGGAGTCCCATATCCTGTCATCACAGGTCTTCTTCCGCCTTCGCCTTCGCGAGCAAGTGCCTGGGCAGCCTGCGTACTTCTCCGCAGGCTCCGCTGTGCGGGTGCATGAGCTGCATCCGCTGCAGTCGCATCCAAACCTCGACTCAATCTCCGAGCAGCTGGCGGTGAACTTTGACCGCGCACGAATTATGTCGCAGCTCAAGCCGTGGCAGGATGCGCAACTTCCGCCAGCTTTTTTGTCATTGACAGCCGTCTCACCTTTGGAGCTAGCATTGTCTGAATTGCTGATCTCTGCCTTGTCGTCTGCTGCCTCATCTTTGGAGTCAGCATTATCTGACTTGGTGCCAGCATCATCAGTGGCTGGATGCTCATCTTTGGAGCCTGTGTCACCTCAGATTCGCGAATCCTTCTCTGGTCTTGTGAGAAAAACAATCTGGAACTGACTGGAACTTGTCAAAACATGTAAAACATAAAGCACCCCGGCAAAGCTCGACAAAGCTACTGCTCTGAGAACAAGTTAAGGGGGCCAACAAGCACAGAACATGAACGAGCCAAAAGGGGACAGTGCTGCCAAGCAAAGCCGCCCCTCTGTGATTGTTCACTTACTTGGTGCTCTGGGTTGGTTGTTGGAAGAACTGAGGATGGCCCTCCAACTAAATCTTGGACGGCAGCCAAGGTTCCAATCCCAACAACCAGCCTGAACCACGAAAAGGATTACCTGCAAAAGGGTGGCAGGTTTCCCCTGGTACTGTGTTTATGCTTAAGGGTGTCGGGTACGTCGGTTTGCTGCATATCCGTGCGTTGGGTACAGCATAGCAGGTCTTTCTAATGTAAGGAGCGGTGCTCCGACTAGAAGCTTCCGGCATCGGCTACAGTAGTCTACGCATGCCTCAACAACCAAACCAGCATAGCTGGGCAAAGTGCATTCTTGCCAGCTCGTCTGAGAGGCCGCATGTCAAACATCAACCAGCAAAACCGAGATCATCTACCAGCCATGGAGTTTGACTCATCTGGCATGCCACAAGTGGGGCAAATGTCCAATCAGCGACCGGAGACTTATACGAGCCACTCCGGCCACCTGGCTGCAAGTCAATGGTCTCTGAGCCTGTGCGGGATTGCGACAGTTCGCATGGTTCGGGAGGGGAACCCCCAACAGAGCTGCGGCGAAGGCCGGGTATATCATTGGGCGCTACAACATGAAAACCAATGATACAAACCCTGGTTTGTAGATAAAGATGATCCTTTGGGGATGTTGATTACTACATCATGGATTGCCTGCTTGCCTGCCATGAGGTGGTTAAGGATGGAACAGACGAACTTCACCCATTCGAAACATCACGCTCACGACGACAAACTGGAAGGCGCAATGGATCAATTCCCGCGCCCCCGCGCTGTTAGCAGCACAGTATGCATCACGAGTCGCAACTTTGCCTCACACCTTGCGCAACAGCAAGCGCTCATGAAAGTCGCGCTCCTGACTCCTTTGTCTCCGGATGGCAGAGACCGTCGTCGCATCTGCCGAAGCTGCCGTCCCTGGCGTCGCTCCGTGTGCAGGATCTTCAAAAAATAAACACATGAAGCGGGGGAAATGGAATTTTCCCTGAACGAGGCTGGCGAGCAAAGCTGCCATTTGTCTGTCCCCAATGACAGCGCCACTGTCCAACTAACTAGCAGTAATACTGGAAGGTGAAGCAACTGGGCGCCAAGGGCAGCCCGCCAATCGAATACGCGGAGCCTGTCAATCGCAAACTGTCCCGTCCCGCCAATCACAGACTGCCATCCCGCAAAACCCGCCAATGGAATCGAACCTTGAGCACTTGGCCAGGGGTTGAATTTGATGTTAGTTGACTTTGAGTTTGGTCGACTTTGGTCGAGCGCAGTGGTCCAAGTTGGTCGGATTGGGCGGTCCATCGCCAGACTGAATTCAACCGGAAAATTCTTGAATTTTTCCGGTCAGATTGTCTAGGCTGAATTTGGTCAAATTTGGTCGGGTTTGGTCGAGTTTGGTCAGGTTTGGTCAAGTTTGGTTGGATTTTGCTCGAGTTTGGTCGCATTTGTTCAAGTTTGGTCGAGTTTGGTCGATTTCGGTCGATTTTGGTCGAATTTGGTCGCATGGGGTCAAGTCAACTTCAAGTGACTTCGAGTCCAAGTTTGTCGGATTGGGCAGTCCATCGCCAGACTGAATTCAGCCGGAAAATTCTTGAAATTTTCCAGTCATCTTGTAGTTGACTTTGAGTTGAATTTGTTCGATTTGGTCGAGCGCAGTGGTCCAAGTTGGTCGGATTGGGCGGTCCAATTTTGGTTTGGTCGAGTTTGGATTTTGCTCGAGTTTGGTCGCCTTTGTTCATTTGGTCGAGTTTGGTCAATTTTCCTCGAGTTTTCGGGTTTGGTCGAGTTTTGTCGATTTTGGACGATTTCGATTTTAGTCGAATTTGGTCGAATTTGGTCGCATGGGGTCCAGTGCTGTCAATGTTAGTTGACTTTGAGTTGAGGTTTGCGAAAGGGCCCTTGCTCGAGTTAGGTCCAATTTGGTGGAGTTTGGTCCACTTTGGTCAAGTTTGGGTGCAATCGCCAGACTGCCCCGGAAGATTGATTTTCTGTAGAAGCAAGCCAAGGGGCCTGCTGCAACCTCATCTGTCACTTTCACAGATTCCCCGCGGCATGACCTATCCTAAACTAACAAACCAACCCTAAACCAACCCCAAACCAAGCCTGAACCCTAAACCAGCCCTAAACCAACCCTAAACCAATCCTAAACCAGCCCTAAACGACCCCAACCCAACCCTCAGCCAACCCTAAACCAGCCCTAAACCAGCCCCAAACCAACCCACATCCAAACTCAACCCAAACCTAAACCAATCCTACACCGACCCCAGCCCACCCCTCAACCAACCCTAAACCAGCCCTAAACCAACCCTAAACCCTCAACCAACCCTAAACCAGCCCTAAACCAACCCTAAGCCAGCCCTCGATCAACCCTACACCAATCCTACACCGACCCCAACCCAACCCGAACCCGGCCCTGAACCAGCCCCAAACCAACCCTAATCCAAACTCAACCCAACCCTAAACCAACCCCAAACCAAGCCTAAACCAAGCCGGAACCAATCCTAAACCAACCCTAAACCGACCCTAAACCAACCCTAAGTCCTGAACCAACCCTAAACCAACCCTAAACCAAACCTAAACCAATCCTACACGGGCCCTAAACCACGCACAAACCACTCCCAAACCAACCCTAGACCAACCCTGAACCAGCCCTGAACCAGCCCTAAACCAGCCCTAATCCAACCCTGCACCAATCCTACCCCAGCCCAACCCCAGACCAACCCAAATCCAAACTCAACCCAAGCCTAAACCAAGCCGGAACCAATCCTAAACCAATCCCAAACCAACCCTAAACCAACCCTAAACCAACCCTAAACCAAACCTGAACCAATCCTAAACCAACCCTAAACCAACCCTAAACCAACCCTAAACCAACCCTAAACCAGCCCTGAACCCACCCTAAATCAATCGTAAACCAACCGTAAACCAACCCTAAACCAATCCTACACCGACCCCAACCCAACCCCAAACCGCCTAAACCAGCCCCAAACCAACCCGACACCAAACTCCACCCAACCCTGAACCAACCCCAAACCAGCCCTAAACCAACCCTAAACCAACCCTAAACCAATGCTACACCGACCCCAACCCAACCCTAAACCAACCCTAAACCAGCCCTAAACCAACCCTAAACCAAACCTAAACCAACCCTAAACCAACCCTACACCAAGCCTAAACCAAGCCCAAACCAACCCCAAACCAACCCTAAACCAACCTTAAACCAACCCCAAACCCGCCCTGAACCCACCCTAAACCTAACTAACACAAACCAATCCCAAACCAACCCTAGACCAACCCTGAACTAAACCAACCCTAAACCAGCCCTAAACCAACCCTAAACCAATCCTACACCGATCCCAACCCAACCCCAAACCGATCCCAAACCAATCCTAAACTCACCGCAGCCCTTTTTTGCTTGCCCGGTTCACCTGCACGTGATTGCCGGGTTCTGCTGTACGTGATCGCGGCGCAGCCTCCAATAATTAGCTGATTGCAGGGTCCAGTCTTTGATTACCGTTTTACTCTGGGCGCCAACGTATATACATGGATCTTCCACTTGTCACTTTTTTGGGCTCCAAGCAGAGGTTATGCTCGTTTCGGACTTTAACGGAAAAAATGAAAATGAGCGAAAACCGTGTGTTGAGCTGCTATGGCCAGCGTTATCCCGGAAAATAAGCCGAAACTGGCGGGACATGAGCGGCGAAAAAGCAGAATAATTGCAAAACCCAAATCAGCATTTTCCCATCGGGCATTTTTCCTTCAATTTGCGTTTTAGATCGAAATGAGCGCTGGTTTTGCTCGATCCGCAAAAGTCACAAAAATGTGCCCGAGGAGGGTCTAGGTATATGTCTTGCAAGTGAGACAACGCAATACATGTATGATGGGGAGATGCCAGCTCAACATCAAACACCTGCGACCCATTCATGAGGTCCCGATCCCGCAGCTGCCTGTCGCAGGGCGTGCCATCCGGCAGGTCGTGCATCGGCTTCCCCGAAAGGACCCAGCCATCCAAAGAGCTGCATTGGCCCTGGTACGTGCACTTGAACCTGGGCTCCAGCTGCTCAACTAAGCCAATGCCTAGCTGAAGGTTGTGTTCATGTTCATTTTGGTGTTGTGCATGTTCTGCTCAGGTGCTTCATCGCGCGCTCTCCCCCAAAGTGGTTGATGCTTTTTGTTCAAACCTCTGGTGCCAAGGTTTAGAGGTGCCGGGGACTGATGAGATCAAATGGGTTCCATTCACGTTTTCTTCAAGAAAACTTTTTGCGAGACCCTCCTGTGTCCAAACCTGGACATGGAAATCAGGCCCAGGAATTCGATGAAATTCGAGCTGCTTGCAACTGCTGTCTGAATGAAGGCCGCAGAAGTCGCCAAAGCCATCCCAGACTTTGAAGCTGGAGCAAGGAGTGTCTTGGCCTCAGCTTTCGCCCGACAAGAGCAGTTTGTGCGTGTGTGTGTGTGTGTGTGTGCGCGTGTTCTCGTGCACGCGTGTGCGGGTGTGCGTGCGTTCGTCTGCGTGCCGGCTTCTGCGTGCGTGCGTGTGCGGGCGGGCGTCTGCGTGCGTGTTTGTGCGTGTGTACGTTTGTGTGCCGTGTGTGTGTGTGTCTCAGTGTCGGCCCAGACTCCACCAAAGTCGTGTGGATCAAAGAGTTTACAACATCGTGCCCGGGCCCACGAGCATCAGTCCTGCAAATGACGTGACTCTTCCAAAAACCTAGGGAAACTAGCATGTGTGCACACTCTTCCCCATGTCGAGCATGCGCAAGAGCTGCTCTATCAAAGCTCCAGGAAGGTTTGAGTCTGGTCAAGTCTTGACTCATCGCAAGCTCGCAATGCAAGTTCACATTTCCCGCTTCAGCCAAGCTAAGGGCAACAAATGGACCCTGCAGAATCAATGCAAATCAATTTCATAGACTCCAGTGAGCATATGTTTCGCATTCGCAGAACTGCCGCTAGTTCTGAACTGCCGCTCAGCGGCAAAGCCCCGCCATGCAATAGCCCTGCGCGTTGTCGCTCCTGGTGCAAATGCTGCCTGCAGGCCTCATGGCATCAGTTCAGCGGGCGGGCCCCGCTTTAAATTCACAGCCAGCTGGCACCCTAAGCCAAACACCAACCGCAACCACTCCAAAGCAAGCCTAAGACCTGCACCTAGCCCGGACTGCAAGCTGACAGGCCAGCCCAATGGCCAGGCGACGGGTGAGGAGAGAATGCTGGCCCATGTCCTACGACTTGGATAGCCCCGACCTTCATGCCTCATGAGTCAACCTGCACCAAGGGATGAAGAAAACTGTTGAACAAGCCAATGTGACCAGGCAAGCCAAGCCAACCTCAAGCCGTCACATCCTCAGACGGGTGAGAAGCCGGGAATTTGACCAAGGCCCACTCCAATTCCATCGGAAAAAGCCCTTCTGCCACTGACCTGCCTGAAATGCCCATCGTCTGTGCAGCATTCCTGCTCGATACCCTCCGGTGAGCACTGCTTTCCCGAATCCAACCTCGGATCGGAGCTTGAAACCTTCTCAGAAAATTATGAGGAAGCGCAGCTCACCTTGAGTGACTGGTCGCATGCGTTGCCTTTTGAACACTATGCTGCCAGTCTCATAAGCAATTGGCAAGGTTCTGGGCCTATCTAGGTTCATGATGACCCCACTCCTTGTACGCACCTATCGGATGTAATTATCGAAGCCCAAGCAAATCCAACCCTGATTCGCTTTGAAGGGGTGAGTTTGCCGCAAACCCGTAGCATAACAAGCACGGTTGAAGACCATGAGGAAGCTGCCAAGAAACAAAGTTCAACACAATTTTCAGTCAATGGGTCGCTCCCCATGGGTCACGAATTGAAGGCGACATATATCTGTTTGCATCGAGTCACTTGCAATTCGAGCAGAACTTGCATTCCTGAGAGCCGTCCTTGCATTCGCAGCCTTCGTCTTCCTGCACAGGGGAGGCAGTCACATCAACCGCATGCAAGGAAATCTGCTGCGACTGAGAAACAGGAGCTGCGCGCCGCAAAAGGGCTCTATCCGAGTCAAAGCCACAACCTGCAGCGAAAATTTCTTGCAACCTGGCTAATCCGCTCCCCCTATTAATGAATGACCCCCATGAATAATAAATGCAAATCCGGGGCCCGAGACCAGATTTCCACTCCGCACAATTGATTTTCCATTGCGCCAATACTAAACCAATACTAAAGTCTTGGAATCCTTATTAGGGGGCACTTTTAGCAAGCTTCCAGCCTCACTTTTCAAAAGGTGGGTTCCTCAATTCCCCAAAAGGTTGCTTCCCCAAAAGCCGGCTTCCCCAAAAGGTTGGGTTCTTTTGGTGGGTTCCCCAAAAGGCTAGCTGCAAACAAACAACCAGTAAACTGGTAAACAAATAGAATGATACATCAAATTTCCTTATTAAACCGCTTACTCGCGGACCTTACAATTCAATCCATGTCCTCCAAATCCTATGTGAACCCTCACATGGTTGGAAAAGCAAAAAAAAGCAACCCGAAAAACCCCAATTAAAAAATATATATATTTGGGGGGTTTATTTATAATAGGGGGGGGGGTTCGTATTTATTAATAGGGGGAAGAGACTATAATGCAAAAACATGTTCCACAAACAGGACACATCACAGTTGTGTTTGTTCGATGCAGGATGGAAATACAGGCTTGACATGCGGCTGGCATGTGGGTAGGTGGACAACGGTCATAGGAGGCCATAGTGTGCCAAAGCGATGGATACCGAAATCAGTTTGTTCTCAACCATGCCCTCATGCTTCATCAACTCGCTGGCTTTGATGCTAAGTGTGCCAGCTACTTTTGTGGGGTGGGATCTCCGACCTCTCGGTTGCTCTTGCTGCCTATCTTTGGCAACCACCCCTGCCTCTCGGAGGGAGTTGCCACAGCCCTCCACTGCTGGAAAACATTGGCCGGAAACACAAATGCCGTCGCCAGGGTTCCTGGGCAAAGCATGGCGCTGACTGGATCTAATGCCAATGCCGAGTCTTCCTGAAATACCACAGGCCTGCCACCTGCCGTTGAATTCGTCTGGCCTTGCAAACTATATGCTGGCCCAGAGTCGCAAATGTGCAAGGGACCTGGTCGTGCACGTAGTTTGCCTTGAATATCAAAAAAAGCACACAAAGTGTGCGTTTTCTGGGCATCTGGCGCCACAACCAAACCAAACGAAAGACTCAGCGCAGGCTCCAGTGTGTCAAGCACCAAGTGTGGCCAAAAAAGGGAAGCGCAAAGTCTCTCGCCCTTAAGTTGTCTTGTATTGTCGACACTCTTGCCCCTGGCATTTACAATTTAAGTATGCGCTTGGTGCAACTGGGATCTGAGGACGAGGAACTGGCTGGGCATTGACCAACCATCCTTCCATGCTGCTGCAGGCATGATTGTTGTCCGTGCACCTTGCAAACTCTCTGCTCTCTTCACTCTGACCGTGTCGAGCCATGAGAAGGGCTCCTGCACTGAGGCTTGGTAACACCACCCAATGTTCATGCTGGCTCACACACATTGCAACATGCCAGCTTCCACAAAACGGGAGCACCATGCTCCCTTGCCCTTCCGGCAAGTAGGATCCATTCTGATGTGCGCCGACTCCGCCAGCTGGGCGCCCTGCATGAACTTGCAGTCGTTCTGCGGCTGCAGACCTGGGCTTACCATCCCGTGTGAACGGACCACGCCACACGATCGATGCGTTTCAGCCCTGGGTTGAGGCAGCAAGTGTGTTCGGCAAAGTGAGGATGCTGAAAGCTGGACGCCAAACCAGTTTGGCCAATCATTAATTCTGCTTCGTGACAAGCAACATGGTGTTAATTACACATGAAAACTATTTGAATGCCTGTCATTGAGGAATCTCGGCTTTATCCCGTCTTGCCACTCTCTTAGACCGTCAGTGCCTGCATCGCTCCAACCGAGACCAAGGAATCCATCCATCGTCCGGGCAGCCGCAATAGTCGCCCACAAAGTTGTAGTCAGAGCACTTTGAGGGTATGCAGAGTCCCGAGGTGCAGTATCCATCCCCGACTCCCGGCACCTTAGGTGCTGACTAGCCCAAGGCTTTCTGCATCGCCAATGGTCCACAGCCAAAGCTGGCAGCTCGCAAACATAAGAGGGGAAAGAAACCCACACCACCTGGCACACACGCACATATGCTTCCCCAGGACAAACGCTTTGTAGCCAACAAATGTTCGTTGGGGACAGGGTCTGGATAAATGTTCCAGTATGTTCCAGTGGTTCCATATTTCGCAGGCGAGCATACGTCTGAACAATCATTTCAGATTTTGCAGGCAACATCGAGCAACTGTTGTGATGTATCCATCTTGCCCATCTAGCCACTCATTCAGCCCGGGCGCATGGCAAACACTGCCGGCAACTTTGAAACTGCCGGTGCTGGTGCAGCAGTCGCCAATGCCCATTCCCAAGTCTGAGTGCTGCAGCCACACGAGCTTGCTCCAACTACAAACATCACCCAAACAGCAGCTTGACACAAAACAGCAGAGTCCCAACGGTCGTGGCTAGGGTGAATGGTTGGACCTGACGACGGCTTGAGTTTGAAGACACAATGTGTGGCTTACATTCCAAAGTGTCCTGAAATCAAGGCAAAATTGAGCAGCCCAAGAAGCTGATGGGGTGTACACCATAGCCGTCTGGCGTGCAGGACCTTGATCTGGGCGCAACAAGAAGGATGGAACGCGAGCGCCAGAAACTGAAACTACCTCTCCCTTCGAAACAAAGTCCAACATACATGCGGACATCCTGAGGAAAGGAGTCTTGCACCCTTGCTGCACCGGCAGTTGGCCTGATGTTTATCAATCCTAATTAGTCCTGATGCATTCTGCGAGTCCTTCTGAACAACAACTCCTCTTTGAGCACCCGGGTATTTTAAAGATGTTTTGGGCATGTCGGCTGCAAGCTTTCATTGACATGCTGTTCTTACCGCTCTATGGCACAAGACCAAACAACATCACATATGCATAGATTGCGTATACACACATATATAGATAGATACCAATTCTCGTGGCACAAGCAACCTACATGTTCCCTGTAAGGCCGCTCTAACAAGACCAGCCTGAAATGGAATCGGTAAGCTGCGAACTAAAGCGTCTCACCCATCCCTCGGCATGAACTGAACGCCTCTTTGCTGGCAATGTGCCAGAATCATAGAGCCTTCCCTTGGTGAAGATTGCGCAGACGCATATATGTACATCTACATCTTCGATCTACAAACAATTCCAAATACATAAATATATACATGCACATATATGTAGATTTGTTCATATCTCTTACCTAAGTCCCAAGCTTGTCCTTCTCCAGCGTGCAGTTGTTGCAGAAGGCGCAGTTCAGGCCTGCAAGGCACTGTATGCGCTGAGAACCAGAGCCTTGAGCAATCTCAGTCTAAAATGAGAAAGCAGGCCAATTGTTTGGGAGGAAACCTGACTGGAACACTGGCCTGCAGCTAGAAGACAAAAGTGGAGTCAATTCCGAGATGCCCGCAATTCGGCGCCTTTGAAAGACCTTTGCAAATTCAGATCATTCGAGGAGAAAACAAAAGGCAAAGAAAAAAAGAGCAACATCTCTTTTTGGTGACACCACACTTTTCTGGAGGCAAGTCACTGCCATTGCTGCATTCGCACTCCTCGTCGTCGGTGAGAATCCCATTTCCGCATTTGCCATCGAAAAGCCAGAGCGCCGAGCACTGCGAGCGCACAGCCTGCCAGCTTGGACAGGACAAACACGGGAGCAAACAGAATTCTGGAAACAAAACACGCTGCAATGGTTCCCTATCAGCACGGTTCGGACTGACAGTTTGGGGACTTGCGGTCTTGATGCTTGGGTCAAATTGGCAAAACTCCCGAACAAGTATCACGGATCCCTGATCAAGTCGCTACGATGGCCGCTTTTCATCATTTGGACACTCCAAACTGGCCGTGTCTTGATGCACGAGTGCAGCCAAGCTGCATGGTCCATGACTTGGCACATCTCGGCTTTCCGGAACTGAGTGTTGAACTGAAATATGCCGTTCCTGATCACTGCAGCTTGTCTCAAGGATGTCCCCATCCATGTGTCGTACGTCCTGCCCCTCACATGTGTTGGTGGCTATCCGACACGCCGTGATGGCGATGGCACTGTTCTGCCAGAATGACAAGTGCCTGAAAGTGTGTGTGTGTGTGCGCGCGTGCGTCCTCGGGGCCTCACCACAAGCCAAGGTGCAATTGGCCACCACCGTAGTCCATGATGCCGCCAGTCGTGCCCATGCCCATCTCAAAGGAGTGCCCGCCTGCAGAAGGCAGGACAAAAGAATCCCTGGGTGCTGGGGGCGTGAAGCAACACTTGGCATCAACTCGGGCTCACGCCAAACCAAGCAGTACCTGCGCGCACCAACTTCCAGAAAAGCAGTGGTCCCGTGAATCAATAGAAACAAGATGGCCACACCGTATCAAACGATGCAACAAATTCATGTCATGCAACCAATTGTTGTAGCTTGTGCCGAGTTTGAGGAATGATTGTCCAAAGCAGTGTTTGCCTTGCTCGGACCTCACCGAGCGAATCTTCACATAAAGATTGATTTTTTCCGCCACAGCTCAAAAAGAGCATGCATCCGTTGAGGGCGCACAACACGTGCTGTTGCACACCAGCGACCCAATTGCTTCTTTTGTCGCTCGCTCGAAGGCCTCCGAAGGTGTGACCGATCTCGTGCGCGAAGGTGATCCAGGTCCGGAAGCTGTGCCAAATCACCCCTCGGTTCCTCGGGAAAGGGCCGCTCTCGTCCGCTATGATTGTACCTTGTCTGATATGGTGACTACAGTCATGAGATTCTTTGGCAGTCACAGACTGGTAAAATGATACTTGTTCTTCACGATTCCTCTGGCATGTGCATCCGGATTTAGTGCCATCAGTTCGAAACCATCATTTGGTATATATGGATTAAATAGGTTCTCATCTTTACAAGGTTTGGTGCTGCAAAGGGATGGTGCCTTGCTCAGCGCTCCATGTTAGAATAATGTTTGCGCATTTTCTTGACTGATGCTGGCTTGTTGGCTATGGATTTTGTTGGGTCTGTTTCATGATGCTATGTTGTTCTACATTTGGCTCATTATGTTCCTACTCTTGTTGGTTATCGTTAAGATTGTGTTTATCATCGCTGCGGTCATCAGTGTTTTATCAGCGTTGTCATTTCGATGTATTCGGCTGGGCATGTGTATCAAATTGAAAACAACACCTATCACGTGTGTTATCGTGCTTTTCTTGATTCGTGGTGTTGTTTCCATTTGGACTATGTATCATACAATCTATGTATCATACAATTTTTGTCGTTTACCTTTTGGACTACCAGTTACGAACACAAATGATTTGAATTGTCATGTAGCTTAACATTTGGATTGTCATGTTCGGACATCTTCGGATTTAACGTATCGCTTCTTTGCCGTTCTTGCTTTCGAGCTGACGTGGACTTCGGAGCGCTTTCTGCTTTCCACTGTGGAGTTCGAGCTCCTCATATTCGAGTTCCACGCCTCCAATGTTTGTGTTCTTGTACCGCAAAAACAAAAACACGATATAGCCAAAATGACAACTGCAATGCCACTGAGAAACCAATGGGACAACAGTAGTGGTAAACCAAATGAACAGCGAGACCACACCTGTTGATCTAAGAATCTCACAAGTAGACTATAGCAAGCATAAGCATAATAAGCGCAGCCTTGAGCCCCAAAGCACACCTTTCAAATTCTGACTCTGAGGCACAGGCGGGTACTGATTCCAGTAGTTCCTCAAGTGCCACGGCAGAGTTGACAATAATGCCGACCCCGTTTTTGTAAAGCGGTTCTATTAGCAAGGGGCGGCCCCCTCCAAAAGTGAAGGATTCCCACTACAACGCACTACAACGGGCCACCCCTCTGTTGTATTCAACCCACTACTCCGAGGTTCCCATTTCCGATGGTCTCAAACGGGCATATGTTCTTGGTGGCAGCTACAAAGCTGCCAGCATGAAGGCATATAGATCAAATGACACCCATCGCGCTGGGGCACCTTACGGTTCGGGGCATCTCTTCTGCGGGGGGACTGCAAATGGGGACACGCAACGAACAAATACGGGATATTGGGTCGGAAACGACATGGCGGCAGAAGTGCGATCCCACCTGCAAGTAAACTTCCACCCATCAGCCCTAGTCCCTTTGCGCCCTCTTCCACGCTTGCGGCAAACACTTATGCCTTGCCCAGGTCAATCTTACAAGGCGACGCTTCATGCCAAGCATGGCTCTCACCTTCTACAGCCCAGCCGCTTCTCCATCATGCACATGGTTCCGACATAGGCCAGGCCGATGGTGCCAGAAACGAAGCAGTCCTCACTGCGACCCCTGGAACACATCGCTTCACACCATTCAGAAAGCTCGGCTGTGCTCAAGTCCCAAACATGCTCAGACTGGCAAGGAAAGTGTGAGCCAAAAAAACTGGAGAATTACAAAGGCAGGCCTCCACACCATGAGGGCAGGGCTGCCAAGCTCCCCTTGCCATCATTCCCACTGTCATCTTGCAAACAGGGATCGTCAAGCAGCGCCCAAATACCTGAGCGCATCAAGTTTGAACACCGGAAGCGCAAAAGCACGCGCAAGTGAAAGCTGAACGCGAAAGCTCCATGAATTCGTGACTTCCAATCCGGCGGGCAGGGTAGCTATGAAATAAACATAGAAAGAGACGCCTCGGTTCCTTCGCCTTTGGGACATCGACCATGTCTTCTCCAGTATTCACGCAGGGATGCCTGCTTTCGATTCAACTAAGGCTGACACCTTGCTGCTCGCTGGGGACGTCTTGCCTTGCAGCTCATTAAGCCAATTAGTAATGACAGTGGCCGCTGTCTTTGCATTCAACCATTCCCCAACTGATGAGCAAGTCGTTGTCGAATCCAGGACAGACTATCTCAAACTCCAGCCACTGGGAGCGCTACCCTCTTGCCTCCCGAGCATGGGGTTGCCTTGCCCTTGCTTAGTCATGCTTTTGGAACAGCAGCTGGGTGCAATGTTGAACTTTCATTATGCTGGAATTTGTGTTTGCATCAGTGCGCGGCTCCTGTTTACGGCCCAACTACTGCTTGTCCGTCCACGTGGTGTGGACCCACTTCGCCAAGCCGCCCAGGGGCGTCCCAGTCGTCAAAGGCCTCCAGCTGCTTTTCGATGCCGAAGGGGCAATGTGAGCCTCCGCAAAGACGTCTACCAATTGGGCAATGTGGCTTAGGTGCGCTCGGAATATGACCAATATGAACCAATCTGCATGAGCTCATGCCAAGTTGTCGCCTGAACAAAAACAGCCGCCGGCAGGCGAGTGGCAACCTTTTAATAGTCATGTTCTTTGTGATTTGCCAGCCACTTGATGCCACTTGCAACAAAATGTAAGCCTTCACTTGCTTGCATTCATCCAACCCTGCCCGCCAGAAGCTGACAAAGAGGGGTATGGCAAAAGGATGGATGGCACGAAGGATTTTGAAGACCAAATCCCGCCGCGCCTTGGTCCCAAGAAGGCGCGTTTTCATGAGTCGTCTGCCTCAGCAGTATCATGCTTGCCGATGAGCGGCGCTTTGAAGGCGAGGAGAGAAAAGCGAAGTGCCTTTTGCAGGGTTTTTGGCGAGACTGCTGCAGCATTGGAGGTACCTTTCACAAAAAGAATCGCGAGCGCGTTTGTTGAAGCAGCCGCTTGCCCAACAATTTCGCGGATTGAACAACTGTTGTGAAGTTCAACTCCCGTTTTGTGGGCGCAGGGTAGCTTCGCGGCAATTTGAAACTTGCCTGCGCGAGCTTGCATGGCTTGGGCTCGGCATGCACAGTGCAAAGTTGCGCGCGCCCCTTCCGCGCTGTTGCAGAGCTTACGTGGGACTCCTCCGAGACCTGGCCGCTGCCTGAGGCTATGTACATCTATGGACGATATAGGCGAAGGTATGCCAGACTGAAGCAAAGCTCAGCATATCACGTTACGTACGGAAGGGCATGCCCCAACTAAGGCCTTCACCCACAACCTAAATAACCTCATAGCCATGCTCTCCTTGAGCAGGCAAGCAGTTGGGTGTGCATTTGTCACTGTCCCTCGCCAACAAGAAACAAGATTGCCATCTGGCCTCAGCAGCCTCTTGCATCGTCTCACGTTTGTGGACATGGTGGGATAGAAAAGAGGCGCCAATATCAGGATCTTTCAGCTGCGAGACAGGGGGCCAAACGGGCAAGGTCAATTCAGGCAGAACCTTGAAAATGTCTTGGACATCAAAATTGCAAACACGCGTTTTGCAAACGAACTGTAAATTGCCAAAGAGCCTGTGCCGCTGGGCCGCTGGGGGGACCAAAGCACACAACTCCCACAACCAGCTGGGCCTCCCACAAGTGCAGCTTTCGGCACACCAGAACGAAATTCAGCTGCGGTCTGTAGATGAGGTTGGCCGAGCTAAAAACCTTCGCACTGGCGGAATGAAGCGCAAGCAGAGCAATACAAAAAGAGCTAAGAAAAGGAAGAGCAAAAGAGAGACTGAGGGAGAGAAAGAAAGAAAGAAAGAACGAAAGAGGAAAAGAGGAAAAGAGAGAAAGAGAGAAAGAAATGAACAGAAAACAAACAGAGAGAGGCAAAGAGAGAGCGAGAGAGAGAAAGAGGGAAGGAGAGAAGGAGAGAAAGAGAAAGCGAGAAGGCGAGCCAAAGAGAGGGAGAGAAAGAGAAAAAGAAAGACGAAAGACGAAGGAGAGAGAGAGAGAGAGAGAGAGAGAGAGAGAGAGAGAGAGAGAGAGAGAGAGAGAGAGAGAGAGAGAGAGAGCGAGTGAGAGTGAAAGAGAGAAACCGAGAAAGGGAGAAAAAAGAGAGACAGAGCGCGAAAGAGGAGAGAGAGAGAGAGAGATCATGAAAGAGAAAGAGAGAGAATGAAAGAGAAAGAAAGAGAAAAGAAAGGGAATCAAACAGATGTCAAATATCATGCTGTACTACTTGTCCCTTGTACATGTATGATGTACACTACTCGACCGCAGGCCTTGAGTCTACAAGCAAAAGAGCGCATGCTGGGAAACTACATTTGTGTTTGTGACGGCATAAACAACACTTGCACTTGTAGTAAAGTAACGACGTATTTTAACGTGGTAGCGGAGCTGAGATCCTAAACATAGGGGAGCTCCAGTAACAGCAGTAAGTACTACAACTGCACAGGCAACCACATGCCCAACTACTACGACATGTCAGGAGAACCAGCGGCAGCATCAGCACAACCAACTACAGGAGCAGACAACGGGCCCACAGCAGAGGAGACAATAGGAGCCACAACTACGGGAGCAACACAGGAGCAGGAAGACGTCCAAAGGCTACACAAATACAAGCTGCCACCACCGTTCTTCACTGGTGACTACTCACAGTACGAAGAGTGGCTGTTCAAACTACAAGCATACCTCGGACTCATGGACCGAGACTTCGACATGGTACTCCAACTAGCACAAGCAGCTACAAGACAAATTGAAGATGCAGACATCAGAGCCCACATACGCGACCCTACACAGGCAGCAAAAGCAGTAGACCTCTCACGAGATCTACACTACATCCTCATCAACATCTGCCAAGGTGCAGCAGCTACAGTGGTCAGACAAAACCGCTGCAATGCTAATGGATGTGAAACACTACGGCTTTTGCACAACAGGTTCAGCCTACCAGTAGGAACACGCAGTGTTGGCTACCTCACCAAACTACTGGAACCTACATTCAATGAAGCACAATTTGAAGAACAATTCCTACAGTGGGAGTATGACATCAACCGCTACGAGAAAGACAACGGCACAGCACTACCAGATGGAGTGAAGATTGCAATACTAATTACTCAACAAGACCAAAGGAGCACTTCAACAACATCTCCAACTACGTGCTGGACGGATCACGAACTACAACGAGATCAGGGTTGTCATCCTGGACTACTACAAGACCATATCTGCATTCTCAAAAGCGAGCTCAGCGGTTGGCACAAACTACAATGATGGAACAGCACCCATGGACGTGGACAACATTTGGAGGAAAGGAAGAAACTACAAAGGCAAAAGCAAATATGGAGGCAAAGAATCCTACAAAGGAAACAAAGGAAAAGGCAAGTACAGAAACAAAGGCCACTACAAAGGATTCGACAAAGGCAGCAAAGGAAACTACAACAACCACAACGGCTAATGGACACACCACCAACCAGATCAAAGACCCAACTACGAGCACCACAAAAGATATGGAGACCTAAAGCAGCACCTTCTACAAATCTTGACACCACACAACCAAAGGAGACAATCCACAGACCACTCACAGCACAGGAGGACAACCAAGACTACTGGGAAAGACAAGGTGAATGCTGGATTAGACACCACACAACACTTAGAACAACTCTATTCACTCCAACAGATGGACCAGGACATCCACCAATCAGCACACTTGAGCCTCACAGAACTACAATCACTCACAACCACTTTGGAGAAGTTTCGCAACGCAAAGATGACTGGACAGCCATAGGCAACGCAGCACTACCGTTGCAATGGAGGAACAACAAGGTTCACCGTGAAGAAAGACTACGAGTACATCCAGGAGAACCACGATGAGGAACAACAACACGAGCATCATGAAGCACACAGAGCAAGAGGACTACGACAACCGCAGCAGCCCACTCCACAACAAATAGCAGAACACAACTTGACACACCTACCATACAGAAATTGGTGTCCCATTTGCGTTCAAGGCAAAGGACGCCAGGACAACTACAAGAAACAACAATCACGACAACCCATCATCCAAGTGGATTTTGCCTACATCAAATCACAACAAGATCCGAAGACCATACCAGTCTTAACAGCAGTTGATGTTACTACACAACTGTGCATGGCGGTATTGGGTCCGGACAAACCATCAATGATGGACTACATGACCAACAACCTACAAGCATTCATCTTTGAATGCGGAAGAACACGAGGCATACTACAAAGCGACAACAAAGACACACTCAATGCACTACTAAAGCAACAGCATCTAAAGTCGGCTCAATGACTGTACGACACACCATCCTACAGCAGCAACAGTCAAGGAAGCGTTGAGCGACTACATAGAACACTTCTCGGACAAATCCGCGTCGTCAAAGCTCAGGTTGAAAGCAACTACAGCATGACGATGTCCACAAAGCAGTGTCTACTACCTTGGATAGTACGACATGCAGCAAGGACGGTAAATCGCTACGTCATTCACTCAGACGGCTACACAAGCTTTGAACGCCGCTGGGGAAGAAACTACGAGCGAGCAATCTGCGAATTTGGCGAGACACTACTTTACCTTCCACCACAACACAAGAAACTTCCAAAAATGAGGGACTACACCTCAGAAACTTCCTACTTGAAACCAACATTTGCAGCAAGCTAAACCTACGCATCCACGCAGACTCCACAGCAGGCAAGAGCATTGCTACACGACAAGGCACCAGCAAACGAGCAAAACACATCGACCTTAAATTTCTCTACACACAAGACCTCATCAAGCACGACATCATCCGAATTCTCAAAATCAACACACTACACAACAGCTCAGATTTGTTCACAAAATACATCAGCAAAGAAACACTACAGAGGCTCATACAGAGCATCGGCATACGCGTTTAGCACTACGAACAACAACTGTTTCACAACTATTTCACATCAACCACAACAGTTTGTATATGGCCATATGTAACTACTTGCATGTAAGTAAGAGTAACAGTAACTACAGGTCACAGAAATTGTAACCACCAGTAATTTGCACTCACACGCTTTGGCGGCTTTTGGCGGCTTGAGACAACATTACATGTTGTTTTGTTTTACTACATTCCCGCATGTGTTTTTGTGAGCTACCATTTGGCTCACTACTTTGCCCCGTCTCACTTCGTTTGCTTGATCGCACTACCAGCAATGTCTGGACCCATGGGTGCGACTACGACCGCGCCTGAGACTACTGTGCCAGCACAGCAGATTGGCACTACTACACCTGACCGAGTTTCGACACCACCCAACCAACCATCCACTACAGATGCCAGCAGCATGGTCTCTGTGGCACCTCCGCCACCTGAGGCCTACAATGCCCTCAACTACCACTTCAACCACCAACTACCGACCAATGCACCATTCTACAGGCCAGATGACATCCTGAACCACCGCACTACTGTCGAGTACGACAGTATCCACACTCCGACTAAACTACGCCGAGGTCTACGTGGGGCTGACCTTGGAGGAGTATCAACTACAAGCCGTTTTCCTCCTAATCGGGGTTGTGAAATGCAACTGGGGTTGTTGTTTGTTAGTGCCTTTAAAGTGGGTCCTTGTAGGCTGCGCGCATCCAGGCGATTGACTCGCGTCACGCTCCAGGTTTCTGGCTACGCGCTGGCCAGCAAAGCGCTGGGCAAAATAGTTTGGCTGCGCACGGTAGGTTTTGTAAATGGCGCGATTGAAATTTGAAGCGCCACGTCCAGTCATACGCAACGCGCGCAATCCGCAACAGCCGCTCAACCTCTGGAAGCAACACTATTACAGTATTGATTGCCCATGCGCAGATCGTTGTTGTCCGTCCAGCCGGGGCTGGGAAACACAAGCAGGGTTGCAAGAGACTGTCGTCTTGCGAGCGCTATTCTGCTTTGCGATTACTACTATATGTCCCAGACTACGACTGTCCTCAGTCAGCCCGCCAGCTAGTCATTTTCCTACTTGCCAAGCTCCCGGCTCGCAACCAAAGCTGCAGCTCAAGGCGCATGGAGCTGGCTTCTGGTGTTTGGTGCCCCGTTCCAGAATGTGCCCGCGCATTGACGCCTGCCCGCACCCTTGCCAAGGCCCAAATCTGCCGCCAAAGTGGCCGCAGCTCGCTTCAAGCCAGCTGGGGTTCAGGTTGAATAGGAAGAAAGTCGGGACCAACATATCCCACGCCTTGCTTCAACAAAGATTTACAACATGGCCCCGCAAAAACCTCAAAATCTGGTGTTGCCCCACGCTTGCTGTGGAACAGGGTCGTGCGCACTGCTGTTGTAACCAGATTCGCCCAGTGATCTCGGCTGAGGCCTGACCAGGTGTTTGAGCTGGCGCCGCTCTTGCTTCAACGTCTGCTTCCGCTTGCAAAAATTGCTGGTTAATGCGCGTAGTTTCTTCGCAGAGCCGCAGCGTTGCACCCAAATAAGACCAGAATATGATAGAACGTTTGCAGCTCTGCTTGTTTGTTCAGGACGCCCGTGCGTAGAGCGCAAACATTTTTGCGCAGGCAAACTAGCCTCAGAACCAGTTTGCCGCCAGCTTGCAGTAATTGTCAGAAGTGGCCTTACATTGAGAGAAAGTTTCAGACCTTGTCCACAAGCATACTGGCTCGATGAGGTTTGCACGCTCGCTTGCTCAAGGCAGATGTTCCAGCCCGTGTCGGCGAGCGACTCTAGGTGAGTTGCGCACACCGCGCG